CAACGTGCGGAAAAACAAAAAACGTGACATGTAATGTTTATATGCTTTTACTTTGCATGAGTGCATTTTTCTTTCAGTCATCTTAAGAAACTTTTACTTTGTAATAGCTGCAAAGTCTAAGCCCATTACAACTAGAAAGCAAAATGGATGATCGAAAATGATAGGGGTTAAGGAACAAGGTCAAGAAAGTAGGAGGAGGAGGCAAGGAAAGAAATGAGAGGAGGCCTGAAAAGCCGAGGGAGTGCAGCCAAGCATAAACTCCCAGGGTAATTATGGATTTTGAGAAAGGGGGGCTGCAAAGGAAGGATATAGGGGTCTGAGAGAGGAAAAGATTAGCAGAGAAAAGAGATCTGATGGGAAACAGGTGATAAATCAACAGAAAGGGAGAAGGTAGGCATATTTGGTAGTGGTGAAAGTGTAAAAGAGGACAAAGATACAAGGAATGAGCAAATGACAGATGAGCTGAGGTAGAGGAGGGAGATGGAGAACGGAAAAGAGGGAGAGAGTTAAAGGGTGCAAAGGAGGATATCCTCGTACATGCTAAAAGAGACAGCCGGGACCAATTGACAGTCATTCAAACTGACATCTACAGCAGAGATGAAACCATGTCGGAGCAGGCATGATTGGACAAGAATAATTATCACATTTACTGATGTGGCTTACAACATTTATCCAGACTCCTGTGAGACTGAACTTAATTAAATATGGAGGCAATTGCCATGGCAATGCAAGAAAGTCTGTGATGGCGAGCGACACATATTTCAACACATTATTATAGCATCAGCAAAGTTTATGTAGTGTTTGTAAAATGGGTGGCTCAAATGAAGCAACCTGATTGGTTCATAGCCATTACAATACCCACATACAACTGCTATGACGTCTAATTCCTTCACACTTTCATTATCACGTGTCTGAAAAACAAACTAATGACTAATGTACTGGCATAGTTGGGTCGGATGACTGTGATATAATCACAACATATGACAGCCATGTCATGAGATATTGCTTACACACACACACACATATATATATATATATATATATATATATATATATATATATATATATA